TAATTAATTTCTACTTTTATTAGATATCAATAAAATTTATTTTCTATGGGCACATCTTTCAGATTATGTCCGTTAGACTCCAAGTATCATACCTTTTCGGTATCAGAGCGTTACGGATTATTTAAAACTAACACCGAATACAGGGTGTTGCATTTTAAAAAAAATACCGTTGACGTCAGCACATTAATATGGATCACCCTGTATGATGAAATTTTGTTGTAAAATCTAGAATATTAAAATTGAAAATCGCGTGGTTCTGGTTCTTGTAAAACAACCTTTCGTTTTGGAAATATCGAATTTATTCCATACCTACTTTGCGGACACACTGTATACAAAATACAACAATTGTACATAGCAGATAACATTGAAAATGGCTTTCGATCAAGGCATGATATAATGTCTCTCAATATTGACAAATTAGTAATTTTTTAAATATTTGAATTTGTCATTTATTGTTTGTAATTTTTTGATTGTGATATCGCACCCTTGCTTCAATAGTGTTACAACTCAAAATATGACTATTTTGAGTTATTGGTATCACTGGATTCAGAAAAAATCTCAAAAAACTGTTCTAACTTGAGGGAATTCAGTGGCCGCCAGATAGCAGTTGAATTATTGTAGACGATTCACCACCACCCCACCAGGAAAATCCGACCATCTTGTGGATCAAAAAACTGTTCAAAATGCTCGGAAAAAATCAAGGAAGAAGTTCGTCAACAGCTATTTTCTGGATTTTGGAGTTTAGGCGATGTCCAGCGGCAGAGGGAGTTCATCGTATCATACAGTGACAAAATTAAACCAAATTACAGATACTTTAGCACTCAAAACTTCTGTGCCATGAACAGATCCTTTTATTTCGACCTGCATAACGTCCGCATGAGAGTTTGCAAACCATTTTTCATGGCCACTCTTGACATGAATGCTCGAACAATACAAACTGAATTCTCAAAAAAATCCTCTACAGGATTCGTTGCCGAAGATCGACGCGGGAAACACAATAATCATCCAACAGTTAACCCACAAATCAAGAAAAGTGTCCGCCAATTTATAAATTCGATCCCTCGCATCAGATCCCACTATTTGAGGGCTCAGACCTCCAGAGAGTTTATCGAAGGTGGCAAGAGCCTTGCAGACCTATTCAGGGACTATAAAGCAAGTCGGGAGCAAAAAGAGTTGCCCCCAGCAAATTCTGTCATGTTCAATAGAATATTTAATTCAGAATTTAACATTTTCTTTTAAACCGAAAAAAGATCAATGTGATGTCTGTGAATCTTATAGTGATGCCAACGATGAAGAAAAGGAGAACATGAGAGCTACATTCGAAAAACACAAGGAGGAGACAGAGCTGTCACGAGCAGAAAAGGAAGGGACAAGGATAACCCATATAGAGCTATACTTGCAGTGTACGATCTACAAGTTGTCATGCCATCACCAAGGGGCTCGTCTGATCCTTTTATTATAAAAGCCAACTCAATTGCTTTAAGTTCACCATCAGTTATTCGCATGCTAGAAACGTAAATTGCTATTTTTGGAATGGGACAGAGGCAAAACAAGGAGCCAAAGAAATCGGAATCTGCGTCTACCTCTGCCCCAAGGACCTCAAGGAACAACGCCCTGATGCTGAACTGAATGTTATATTCTATTCTGATAATTGTTGTGGCCAACAAAAAAATAAATACTTGGGTAGTTTGTACCTGCACGCAACTCATGAATTGGATATCCGCAGCATCACACACAAATTCCTCATTCGTGGGCATTCCCAAAATGAAGGAGGCAATGTGCACAGCCTAATCGATAAAAAAAATTCAGACATTTACGTGCATCTCCGATCTACATTCCAGACCAATACGTGACCCTGATTCAATCGGCGAAGAAAACCGGCCTTCCCTACAAAGTGCACATTCTCAACCACGAAACATTTCACGATCTTAAAGTTTGGGAAGCAATTTCAATGTGAACACCGACAGATAAACGGTTACTTGGCATGACATCAAAATTATTCGTGTAGAGAAACAGCACGCAAATTCCTCCTTCTACATGACATCCTATGAAAATGAAGAATTCAAGGAGATTGACGTCAGAGAAAACAACAGAAGTCGTCACAGAACATCTATGCCGTCACAGATCCCAAGCCAGCTAGTACCAGCTTATTCGGAAAAAATCCTTTAGCAGAAGATGGAAAAAGACATAAAAGATTTGATTCAGAGAAGAATTATCCCTCAGTATTACTATGATTCATTTTACAAGAATATTTTGGAACTGTAAGTCAGTTGATATGTTTTCACTCCTCAGGAGAATTTATATTCAATGAGATTTTTGTAAACTTACTTTCAACCTTAGTTCATTGTTAATTCTAGTTATTCCTAATTCTCATTTTCCCAATTCTCATTTTTGTAAATTTCTTGTATTTCCTACCTCGATAGGGGACGAAAAACAATAAAAGGTTGTTTTGTCACTTTCGTTTGTTCAAATATTCCTAAATAACTCATGTGAGATAAGGGTTAAGTCTGAGAAACGTCAAATAAGGTTATTTTTCACTAAGACTTTTGAACGTGATAAAGAACTGTTGGTCACTAGTTCCTACTTATGCTTAAAGTTTGCTCTATTTGAATGTATCTGTGATTTTTGAGATCAGATTATAAATCTGGGATAGTCTTGCCTCTACTAATCTTAAAAAAAGTATTTAACAATTGTGATTTACCTATTGTATACAAGAAGGTTTAATTTACGTTATTGAACAAGAGTTATTTTTTCTTCTTTTTTACCAATTTTTCACTTTTTTTATTGTGAAGCAAGAACGAATCATGATAGGCGTCAGTCCATTAAACCTACTGTGTAGGTATATAGAGACTGGCTTGAACGTTTGAAGTTCCATTTGCTTTAGATTTGAACAAGAGTTATTTTTTCTTCTTTTTTACCAATTTTTCACTTTTTTTATTGTAAAGCAAGAACGAATCTACAATAAGGTATCAACTCAAAATAAAACGCAGTACTCACTGCAGCTTGTGGTTGTTGTTGTCATCAAGAGAGTGACATGTCAAAATATTTCCATCAATACCGTAAAGCTTGTCGCTCACTTGTCCAGCACAGCACAGCACGGCGCTGTCCGTCGCCCGATGGCAACGGGTAGTAGCATCGCCCACTTGTCCAGCTACAACCAGCATACTGAAGGTGCTGTTAGTTCGATTTCAAGGGAATTTCACTTGAAATTTTTCCGCGTCCATTTTCATAGGTACGTCTGACACTGTGCTGTCAATTGATGGAATAGCAAAAGAGAAAGACTGAAACTTCCCAGGCACTTTTGGACAAGATGATGCTGGCCGGCGACGGACGCTCTTAGCTGTGCCGTGCCGGGCTAGTGGGCGGTTGTCCATTCATTTTCATTGTTCCAATCCTATCCGTATTTTGACGGGACCTGCCGTGCTGTGATGTGCCGGACGAGTGGACGATAAGCTTAAAGCTTATATTCCTCGTCAACGACAGAATAAAATTAATGTCGTTTGTGAAGAAAATGACTCATTTTATATATACTTTTTGGATCCAAAATTAGAAAAAAATTGCAATTTACATATCACGAGGATTTTGGCCATGGATCGGAAAGTATCATCATATGGTCATGAATCTGCAATCTTGGACTTGGGTCATGATATCATTGATACATTAAGGTCACTAGATATTTGGAAATAACACAGTTGCAATTAATTGTGGCCTGTATTTTCGAACTTATAACTTTGACACTATCAACTATGATATTTATTAGCGAATTGAAGTTTTGTGGTACACGTATTTACATCGGATCCGAATAATATTTTTGTAGCACCATCTCCAATTGTATCCACAGTTCTAAGCGACTCCCACTCCATCGTTCCAATTATCATTATACGCATTTCCTTTCATTTGCTAAATATGAAAGTTATAAAAAATATCCAAACTATGCCGGAATGATATTCTCGATGTTCTTTTTGAAAAAAAAGTCATGACAAATATTTCTAAAATATAGTCTTGTATCATTCCTCATTACAGATGCATTTTATATCTCACAAGAATATAAAAGTTGAAGTCAGCGACTATGATTTAGTCAATTAAGTATTCTTTCATTTATCTGCCTCTACACTAATGAATGTCAGAACTCAAAATAAAGGAAAGCAGAAATTGACAGGATACACATGAAACAAAAGCATTCGTTGTACAACACTGTTTGACAGTGTCAGTATATTTCGGGTTCGAAGGCCCTGGATTTTTGGAATTTCTTCCTGACGTTTCGCCATGAAACGGAAGATTCATACGGTTCAAAAGAGGGAGAAAGAACAGATGATTGCACGCGCGTATCTACCATATATCCCTAGGCTCACAAAAAGAATTGAAAAACTATTGGGGAAACACAACATTGAAACAGGAAGAAACAACAAAGCGTCAGGTCGGCTAAAGACAAAAGGGACTCAGTATCAGCAGTAGGGGTTTATCGCACTTCTGGAAAGGTATACCGGGTGATTTTCTACGGTAGCTCATCCATATAACTTTTTTATTATTGGAGATAGAAAAACGAAATTTGAGGGTTATGTATATTTACTTGCTTTTCTGTACTTCCGGTTCGATCGGAAATGACCCCAACTTTCGATTTTTGAATGGGACATACATACATTTTCACTTATTTCGATCGAGAATGATATTCTAAATCCAACAATACTTCACTTATCAATATTTTGACAAATAAAATCATTNAAGCTAAACTTCTAGGGCTCACATTAGATCCATCTGGCATTGTCACATCAACGAACTGAGTCCTATGCTTCAACACCAGATAACACTGTTTCAATCCATCACAAGTTCCATCACAAGTTTCATCAGTGGTGTTATACTGATCCACGAGTGCATTACTGGAATCAACTGTTCTTGAAGGACGAGCGTGTTCTTCTTTTTGTGCACTAGAGATTATTACTGGTCCTTCAGCAACACGGATTTCAACACAATATTTGTCAAGGATGAAAAATAAATACGAATTAACTTTTTTTAGGTCTATTTTATTTATACACGAAAAACAAAGTTAATCTAATTTTTATTGGTAGTATTTAGCTTGTTGGATTTGTGGGCGTTGTTCTGGTTCAGGGTGTGCGGCGATCCAGTCCAAAGCTCTAAGGATTTGGGGTGGGATTGGGTGGGGTTGGGGGATAGCATTACCCTCAGCGTGGAAACCGTTTTCGTCAGCTGTGTATCTTACTTCAATTGGTTCTCCTCTGGGAGCTTGGTAACGGAAGAAACCTTGAGCAGCAGTTGCTTGACCTTCTGGCACTGGTTTTTGAACTCCTTCCTCTCCGGCTTGGATGCCATTCTCAGTTTCGTATCTACAAATTGGAATTGTTATTATTATCGAAGAAAGAGGACTGTGATTGAATTATATAAAATAATTGATTTTCTTCAATCACCAATACAGCTGATTGCTATTGTACTATTCCGAATCAAATGGTTACCGGTCGAAACGTTTTGGACAAAAAGTTAAAATTTGGTAGTTCATAATAATGTATCTATGAAGTATATGAAGTGAGTCATCTGAAACATCGTTCCTGACCTGTTCAAATTCTGCACGGTTCAAATCATGTTTCAATTTTTTTCAAATTTTAAGTATACTACCTTTCTCGGGAAAAATGTCGATTCAGGAATAATCATTGAAAATTGTGATTTGATTTCGAAATGTGTTTTTAAGCTACTTAGAATCAATCAAAACTGAGTAAGAAATTTTTAACTTCGGAGTATACAAATATTCTGACACGAAATACTAATTCTTAAGTATTAAGAACGAATTTTGTTGGAAATATCTGAACCTTTTTCATGAAAATATTCATGTTACTCAAAATTTCTATTATTACTTCACACAATTAGAAAAAAATTTCGAAAACATGGAACATTCGTCCAAATTTTACTCAGATTGNCTTGTGTCTGAACTTGAATTGTGTTGTTTGTGTTGCATACTCAATGATCGATTGAAAAAAAATGTTTTACTCACTTCCATGCGTAACTTCCATCTGGGTTAACAGACTGGTCCTGGGCCAAGATGCGAGCTACAACGGGATTACGGACTTCGGCACCATATACGGCAACCAACAAAACTGATACTAAAGCCTGAAAATAATACATTGTTGAATTAAAGAATTCATTTGTCCGTAAAGTCAAACAAATTTCAAATACCTGCTTAGAAACTGTATTTGAAGTTGATTCAACGGAAAGTTTCTCAATTTTGATGGTATTAGGAGTGTTTATAAAGTTAACCCCTGAAGATATTTTTTTGAATTTCTTCAGTTGCAATTATGATAGATTTCATTCTAGCCACAATTCAGATATCATTAAAAAAACACTAAACTATACAGACGCAATCCAGCAGTCAAAAACGAAGACCTGCGAATTGCCATCGGGGTTGGGTGCAGAGACGAATGATAAAAAATACCCATCAAAACTACAGAATAGAAATAGAGTTGACGTACAAAAGATATCTAGAATGACTGTTATGGAGAACGCTAATGAACTACTAGGTGGTAACCAACAACAACTGCAATATGCGATATGTAATTCTAGAAAAGCCATGTATGCTGAACGAAACTTAATGAATAACAAAATGCTTCTCATTGCTTTTCAGCAAGATAACCTTACTTACTGGGCTGCAAAGCCATCTAGTGCGAAATTTGAAAAGTACCTTTTGATTTCCCCATAATATTGGTACCTCTCATTCTCCACATAGGATTCAATATCCTCCGGAATATGACGCAATGTTATTGTCTCAATACCTTAGTGCCGTATATTGCCCACGTAATGCTGTGTTGTGGGTACAAGCTCATGCCACTTTGCCGATTATTATTATTATTATCATCTGAAAATGTTCACTAAAGCAGTACCTCAGTAGACAGAGGTCTGTTAATATCATGTCAGTCGTCCTTTCGCAACCTTTTATTTCATATAGATAAGATGAGTGACTAATCAGAAGCTCCCACATTTCATATACTGATACTTTATCTAATCCAGTTCACGTCATAATAATAATTTCAATTGGCTTATTGGCATTTCTGGAGAAGCAATATCGCAATGAGGAGCAGGGTACTTTTTCTCGTAGTCCCATAAACTAGTTGGGATAAAAGTTTATATGGAAAGTTCACCAGTTTCCGATCTAGATACAGGAAAATTTGTATCTAGACTATCCATTTCCAAAGTCACCCCTATATTGCTCATAATAGGCTTTAAAATTGACATTCATGTTGCTAGAACACTTCTAGAAGCGATTTACAAAAGGAGAGATATCCCACCAAAAATATTTTCATGTATTACCTAGACAAGTACAACGGGATTACGGACTTCGGCACCATATACGGCAACCAACAAAACTGATACTAAAGCCTGAAAATAATACATTGTTGAATTAAAGAATTCATTTATCCGTGAAGTCTAACAAATTTCAAATACCTGCTTAGAAACTGTATTTGAAGTTGATTCAACTGAAAGTTTTTGAAGTTGGATGGTATTAGGAATGTTTATAAAGTCAACCCCTGAAGATATTTTTTTGAATTTCTTTAGTTGCAATTATGATAGATTTCATTCTAGCCACGATTCGTATATCAATAAAAGAACACTTATCCATACAGAACTAAGACGGACTCTAGCAGTCATAGAGGTGATAAAAAGAACCTACCAAAAACGAAGACCTGCACAATTGTCATAGAGGTTGGGTGCAGAGCCGAATGATAAAAAAGCCCCATTAAAACTACAGAATAAAAATAGAGTTTACGTACAAAAGATATCTAGATTGACTATTATGAAGAACGCAAATGGTGGCGACCAACAGTGAAAAGGCACTGCAATATGCAATATGTAATTCTAGAATAGTCATGCATGCTGAACGAAACTTAATGAATAGCAAAATGCTACTCATTTCTTTTCAGCAAGATAACCTTACTTACTGGGCTGCTAAGACATCTAGTGCGAAATTCGAGAAGTTCATTTTGATTTCCCCATAAATTTGACACCTCTCATTCTCCACAACGGATTCAATATCCTCCGGAATGTGAGGCAATGTTGTTGTTTCGTCAATACCTTAGTGCCGCATATAGCCCTCATAATGCTGTGTTGTGGGTACAAGCTCATGCCACATTGCCGATTATTATTATTATTATCATAACGAAATTTTCACTGAAGCAGTACCTCAGTAGACAGAGTTCTGTTAATATCATGTCAGTCGTCCTTTCGCAACCTTTTATTTCATATAAATAAGATGAGTGCCTAAGCAGAAGCTCCCACATTTTACATGCTATGGAATTTCAT